ATATACAATATTGGTACATCGCCAGTGACACAGCATTACCGCATATTATTATTGAATATTTCTATTGAAAACTCGCTTCTTCATTCAAAATATTTCTGTCATTATTATTTTAATTGTGTCGCAGATGTAATTTGTCATTTCAGTTTTTCATAATTCTACAATTATATACGTTTGGGTATCCTCATAGGGTCGAATCGGCGTGGGGTTTATTCAAGTTCAACATTCATGTGTATATTTGTTATTCAATAGGATTATCTGTTTCAGCAACGTCCCTATACCGTCACAACCGATTTACAAAATAATAATAAATAAGGGAAAAAAAACTACAGCATGCGGTCCATTATTGTGAAACAAGAAAAAAGTCACGTTTTACATGATTTAGGATTTTAGAGGGAGTTTATATTATATACTGGAGTAGGTAGTCAATAGAATTAACTATTATCTTCACGCTTTTCTATTCATATATAACATTTACGATATAACATACAACTTGTAGAATGTAGAGGATTAAATAAAATTTCGACCTTTGTTAAAATGAYTTTTTTTTATCGTCAACATTTGAATGAAAAGTATACAATTTATTGTTAAAAGACGAATATCTCTAGTATGATATATATAGATTACAATAATAGTATCCGGTTAATAACATTATATCATAATTATTACGAATGTAATATTGATAAGATTAACATAATATAAGTAGATAACAATATACATCTTCAACATTTTAATATATTTATCGTAACAAATGCATGCCTACTTGGTATTTAAGTTGAATTTAGTACGTATATGTTTACCTACATAATATGTTTGTAGGGTATGCAATGGCTTGCTCAGAGGGGTAGGGGTTATATCCCCCTTCATTGTCTTTTTTTGCTGCACTCAGAGAAAAGTGTTGTAGGGCTAATGAAAAACGACTGTAAAATAAAAAAAGGTGATGATTCTAAGTCTATAAAATTGCACCATAAATATAAATCAATGTACAGTTTTAATTCAATGAAACCATAAGTTTTCWATAATAAAAAAATTCTAATTATTTTAATATATGTATTATTTATGATAAGAAAATATGATACTTTCAAAATTAAGAAAATCAAATCATTTCATCAAATAACATCATACAGAAAACAATTTATTAGACATTAGTTATAACTTTATAAGCGCTATTTTAGAATCGTTACTTAAGAGGACGCCACACACCCGCATGTGTTGTTTCCGTCTTACAAGTGCCTAACAT